CCCTAACCCTAACCCTAACCCTAACCCTAACCCTAACCCTAACCCTAACCCTAACCCTAACCCTAACCCTAACCCTAACCCTAACCCTAACCCTAACCCTAACCCTAACCCTAACCCTAACCCTAACCCTAACCCTAACCCTAACCCTAACCCTAACCCTCAGCTACTAATGATAAAAGTAAACTATTTAATTATAATTAACAAATAGAATTGATTAGAAAGAGTGATGTAGAGTTAAAAATCTAGGATAGTATTATTATAAATATAATTAGCCTTTCTATATTATACGGTTAAACTAACTTTTAAAAATTAAGAGGTACTAATATAGTAATTTAATTTTATAAAAAAGAAAAAAAGAATAAAAAGATTAGTCTCGGTAGGATTCGAACCTATAACCTTTAGGGATATTATTTAAAAGTAATTTACTAACTATATTTTTAAATATATTTAAAAAATAGTAGGCGGATAATTAAGAATAATATTCTAATACTTTAATTACTAAATTATAAACTTAGTATTTTAATTATTAAAAAGGGTACTATTAACTTTCTCTATTAAAGGAATAAGGGAGTAGGTAATATCTTTAAAGGTAATTACTAGAAAAGGAATAAGAAGGGTATAGAATTTATAAATAGCTTTAAAGACAATAGCCTCCTTAGATTCCAATTTAACTAGGGGGATATATTAAATAAAAGAGGTAATTAGAGTAGTTAGCCAGACCTTGCGTAAGCGGGCTACGCTAGTATTACTTCGATATTAGATTTTCTATGTGAGGGATTTACCCAACACAGAGCTTTACACAATATACAGTCGGCACCCTCTACTGAATTAATACCCCTGCTCGTACCCGTATTCTATATAAACCGACGTACCTTAGGTAACATGCCTAAAAAGAGCGCATTCAAAATTTGCAAGCAACGCCATCTCCATTTCACCTTTCGTCATCCACCTTGGTCCACTTTCATATTACTCAGCCCTACGAAGCTTTATAAAGCCCCCGACCTCCATCCATTAGCTTCGCCAAGTCCCAGTCCGAACAACGTAACGCATGTCTTCGCTCCTCGGTCGCATCTTCCGTTCCCTCAACACCCAGACCTCCAAAATGTCCACTGCCGCCTTCCCTTCCAGCCCCGTCACCGTCCCCGAGGGTGCCGAGAAGGCCACCGTCGCCGCCGGCTGCTTCTGGGGCGTTGAGCACCTCTACCGCAAGCACTTTGCCGACAAGGGTCTTTACGATGCGCGTGTCGGCTACATTGGCGGAGACGCCTCCAACCCCTCCTACAAGCAAGTTTGCTCTGGCAACACTGGCCGTAAGTCTTTTACCTCTCTGGCGACGCCTTCTGCAGCTCCTTTCGGGGATGCCGGTCTCCCTCGCTTTAAGCTTCTTCACTCGATTGTGTCGCTGACAAGCCCAAAGACGCCGAAGCTACCCTCCTGATCTACGATCCCACCCGTCTCTCCTACACCCAAATCCTCGAGTTCTTCTACAAGATGCACGACCCCACGACGCACAACCAGCAGGGGCCCGATCGCGGCGCGCAGTATCGCAGCGGTATCTTCTATCACAATGATGAACAAAAGAAGGTTGCCGAGGAGATCACCAAGAAAGCCAACGAACAGTGGTGGGGTGGCAAGATCGTCACTGAGATCCTCCCAGCCAAGGAGTGGTGGGATGCCGAGCAGTATCACCAGCTGTACTTGGTGAACAACCCCGATGGGTACGAGTGCCCCAGTCACTTCTTGCGCAAGTTCCCTGAGCTCACGTAGGCTCTTGGGTTTTGAGCAACTGTGCCGCCCCGAGCGCGCACCAAACCGAGTCCTGGGCGTACTAGCAAGAGTGCGCCCAGCATAATCTGGGGATGACATTCGGGCAGGATCCGGACGAGACATGATGGGATGGTAATTCAACACAGCGGGATCCCGGACAACATACACGGCATGGGCGGATTTAACATACTAGCGACAACATTGCATCAGACGGCGTTTGGGACGGCAGAGAGATGTTGGGTTTTGCCGTTTTTTTTTGTTGGGGAGTTATCTTGGGATATCTACATAAATTTACAAGTAGAATACAAACAACTGCCTGAACCGAATCAGACCAACAGCTCCTTCTTGCGTGACTCCGTCAACAACCGACACTGAGCAGAGTGCTGACCATAAACTTCAAAAGCAAACGATCTGGTATCTTGTTCAACGCTTTCTTGGTTCAACTCATCCTTCGAACACCTCTTACTTCCTGCGGTTCTGCTGCATCATGAGAATCTGCACCATGCGAACAAAGATGTTGAGGAAGTCAAGCTCAAGCGAGATGGACTCGTTGACGGGATCCTCCTTGATGACGCCAGCCTGGGCGAGACGAGCATGGTAGAGAACCCTCTGGACATCATAGAGGGTAAAGCCACCGAAGACAGCAAGACCACCATAGAGCCAGAGGTTCTCGGTGAAGGCAAGGGTGCGGACGGCAGTGGCGGGGAGAACCAGAGGAGCGAAACCAGAAACGGCGACAATGGCAGCACCGGCGAGAAGAGGACCGCCAATGTAGAGGTACTTCTCCTGCTTAGCGGTGGCACCGACAAACGAGATGGCGCCCATCATGGCGATGGTGTAGAGACCGGCGCGAGCGAGGAGAGCGGGAGGGGCCATGGCGAGGAGGGGAGCGACAAAGGCGGCCTGGGTAGCGTTGAAGACGGCCCAGCAGGCATACTTGGGGATGTAGCTGTGAAGAACGGGTCAGCGAATGCGACAACACAGACACACAGAAACGCGAAAGACGTACTTGTCAGGATCAATAGCGCGAGTGGCAAGCATGGAACCGAAAGAGAGAGCGAGACCACCGATAGCGACAACCCAAGGGTTGGTAACCATCAGACGATAAGTGAAGCCGGTCTGGAGCATCTGGTAGGCCGTCAGACCGATGATGCCGATGCCGAGTCCAGTGTGCATAAAGGTCTTGTTGAGGTAGGAGCGCTCGTAAGGGGGCATGCCGCCGTCCGCGCGAGTCTCCCGGTTGAACATGAACTGCAGAGTAACCCAGGTGCCGCCGACCATGGCGCCGCCGTACAGGAGCTTGCGCATCAACAGGCCACTGTCCGGCTGGGGCTGAGTATGAGACTGGTACTGGTAACCGCGGCGGGCGCCCTGGAGACGAGCGAGGAGGCTGTTGGTGGCGGGCTTCTGGGCGATGAGCAAGGGAGTCGTCGTCCTCGAGGTGAAGAAGTTGGTGGTCTTGGGCGCAGACTTGTGGAAGGCCCGGATGGCGGCGGCAGGACCGCTCGAGGCCTTTGCGAACTCGGGGATCCGCGAAGCCAGGCGCGCAGGCCCAGCGCGGATGGTGAGCGTAAACGACATGATCGTGGGTGCGACTCGATGCTAAAGAAACGTGGCTGTCGATATCGAGTTGTGCAATGTGTAGATGTCGCTTGTGGGAGTAGGTGTTTCGGTGGTTAGAAGCGGAACCGATGCAGATCTATATCGGCGCCGAGGAAAGGCAAACGATGGATGACGTTCCGTTGGAGGCAGTGCCTGTGTTTAGGTAATGTGCGTCACAGCACAGTGGTCAGTGCTGGAGGAGAAGCTTCGAGCAGCCCCGCGCGTTCGCTCCTTGTCGGATTTAGGCGCCGGCTGTTCGGCTTTTGGAGACCCTAACCCTGGTAGAAGGAATGGCCCTTCTTTACTCTGCACATACGGTACCTGCCTTTGACAAGCGAGTGACAAGTGACAACGTCGTCCTTGACATGGTTGGAATATGATGCGTCCTAGGTCGGCTCTTCCTCACGACATTTCTCGATGTGGTACCGTAAAATTGTTCTGTGTTGATGACAAACGGATACCAAGCACTCTCATGTTTTGCCCTGTGCTTCCCAAGGCCAAAGAGAACCGAAGCAAAGGATGCGTGCCGACGCAGCCAGAGCAAGGCGCAAGAGACGCTTGACGCAAGATGAACTTGATGCACTTGATTGCTTGCTGCTGGCTGGCAATAGGTTCATCCAGAAATATCTAGTTGTTATCCCCCATTCTGTCGCTCCCTTACAATGATAGTGTCAGCTTCAATCCTTCTGCTTCCCAGTCAGGCATAGCAGCACCGAAGAAGCCACGATATGGATTACCTACCTGACCCTTTGCTCCTCCTCATCGTCACTCCCCACATTCTCCTGATGGCGAGAGTGTACTATTCCTTCATGTCTTTCCAGTTGGACAGGAAATCTTTGAGATCGTTCTCTCCCCCACCAATCGTGGTAGGACAAAAGGGCGTCACCGATCCGATTATTTCCAGGGTCATCTTCGCCCACACGGCTTGGAAGTGGATAGAAGCAATTCAACGGGCGAGACCTGGTCTCATTCCCAGGCTTATCGCCACTTGCTTGTAAGCCAGGGCACTCACTGCTACAAAATCTGATGGCATTTACAACTGACTCGTCAACCAGAGTTTTGGTCTCGTTGTATGTTTCATTCTCAACACGAGGCTGGGAGCACCGATTTTATTAGGATCACCTACATGAATCTGGGTTCATGGGCATCAATCTTGCAGCCGGGGTCCATCAGAGTCTCCCTTGCCCTGATGCGTTAAGACGCTGCAACCAATCTGTGGTGCTCATGGGTCCGAAGCGTCCAACATGAATGGAGCGAGGAGTTGGTCGATTAGAAGAAGTCTATGAATTAAAAACCCCAAGAAGAAACCACCTTAAATACCCAATTCCAGCCCAGGTCACCAATATGCACCTTCCAACGTCGTCAATGACCAATGTACTATGGAACGCCTGCCTGCCCAGTCCCTCCTGCATTTCCATTCATACCTCTAGGTTCCGCATCAAGCCATGTCATCAAAACCATCCTCTGCAAAATCGTCCCCGGCTTCAGATCTGGTCTTTGTCCCCCCTCCCCTTCCACACTGATCCCCTTCAACAAAACCCCAACCAATCCAGCAATTGTGATCACCTCCATTACCATTACTATTAATAACCCCGCAAGGTCCCCCGGCCACGTCGTGCTTCCATAGCTACTAGCGCTCACTTGCAGCGTCCCAAGAAAGAGAGCCCATATTTCCATAGAAGCGGTTCCAATCGATAGCCATACCAACGTGTAGCGGCCGGACTTGAATGCGGTGATGATGATGATGAGGGGAGGTGTTGTATTATATTCCTCCCTGTTTCGGTCTGTAGACCTGGGTGTACCGTTTGCTGAGCTTGCCCCTGCACTTGAAGCCCCTGCGGCTGGAGCAGCCGATGAGCATATAGGCTTTCGGGGAAGAAAAGGGCACACAGCACGGAAATCGCGGTCAACGCATTCGTAGACAGACTTGGGTTCTGGTTAGCAACTAGAAGCTGGGAAGAAATGAAGTCAGACTTGCCTTAACTAGCACACCGATGACTAGATATAGTTCCGGTGGTAAAGGAATAGTATCATCCTGGCTCTTGATCGCCATGAGATGTCTGCACAATATCCAAAGCGTTACAGCGAAGACCAGGAGGACTGCCGAAATGAGACATGTGAGCGGAATTAGGTTCAACATGAATGGTTTTCGCTGAACGTGTATGTCCCACTTTTGGTTCAGGAAATCCTGTATCGATTTCAACAGAGGCTTGAATGGCTTGGACCGAGTCTGAGCGGGCTCGTGCGCGCACTCAAACTTCAAACGCAGTCCACCCCCTTGAAATTCCGTCCAGCACAAGTGATTTCGTGCCCACTCATCCAGTCCGTCAGGATCATCGACAAAGCCTTGAAGTGCCCTTGGGGAGAGCAACTGGCACATTGGCTGCGCATCGTCTGGAAAAGACGTAGCGCCCATCAACTCGCCTTCCTCGGTCAACTCCTTCAACCACTTCATCCCCCTCGGGTCGCCATACAACCCGGACCCCTCTGTGCTTGTTCCCCTTTGCCAAAAAATGGCCATCAGAGCAACGGCACACAACATATTCACCCTAAACATAACTTCGAGAGCCCTCGCAAACGATCCATCCATCACTGCCACCCTCACACCATATCCCACACCATCCGCATCGTTTGCAAAATCCACCAAGTCCCCATATGTTCCACCATGTCTCTTTTCCAGGGAAAATAGGGAGTTCTGAAGGTTAGGAATCACGGCAAACGCAATGATATACGCCGTGCTAGACAAAAAACAAGTCCACTGCCTGTACTTCACGGCCTGCCACAACCTTAACGGAACCCAGAAAGTGTGGTAATCCACATTCAACGTCCTGTCAGCTGTCTGCTTCATGTTGTTATTGAACAAGTGATAGTAAGGTTCAATACGCTCAACCTCCGCATCGCACTGCTGCCAGAGCAGGCCATAAAGCACAACGACGATGGTTGGGAGGTAGTTCCAGACGACGTATCCCTCCAGTTTCAAGCGGCTGGAGGTGCCGCGCATGTTTTTGAAATCCGTGCTTTCCGAGTCCCAGTAGGTGTAGAGTCCGAGACGAGGACGGGAGGCGATGGTGGGGTAATAGCCTGGAGGTGAAGGTTCGGATCCATTTGTGTGCATGATGCGGTGGCCGGGTTCGAAGGCGGGATTGATGGAGTGTTGGTAGAGGAGTTCGACGACGACGAGAAGAGAGAGGGATGAAAGAGCGAGAAAAAGGAGGTACGGGTTACGAGTGAAGAAAGGACGCCAGGTCATCGATGTGGTCCCGGAGACAACCTGCATGTAACCTTGTCTTTTGAACTGGAGGAGGGAGTAGAGGTACAGCGCCATGTATATAAAGAAGGGAATCACAATAAGTAGGGCCGATGTGATCTTTGCTGCTGCGAGATAGTTTTTGGTCCGAAATGGATTGGGCCGCGTATGGTTCGAAGGGCTGAAGATGAGCTTCAACTCAGAATGACTCCATCCGGAGAATGGACGCTGAATATCGGCTGGTGACTCGTCTCCAAACTGCCGTGCTCTGTGACAGTTAGCTCAAGGCTTGAGGAAAGGGAACGATAATACACACGGATTACCGGCAACCCTTCTCAGACTTGACCCCAGATGATAGGCGGCAAAGCGCGGGTTGTACCTGAACCAGGGCTCCACTGCAGGATATCTCTGGCCGTCAGTCAAGTCCTGCCATGCCTCCACCCACCCATCCCACCATCCGTTGGATACTGTAGTGAGGTCCAATACACCCATATTGGACCCGAATTGCCGTTCGCCGCCGCTGAACATCATAAACCGTTCGTGTGTGACCTGGCAGGTTGCTCCGAACCGTCCGTACGGACCGTTGTAGACCTCCACCCAGACGAATTGTGGTATCAACAAAACCCAGACGTTGTCACTGCCATTTCCATCAGGGCCAACCATGCCTCCCCACGCGTAGACAGCATGGACTGTCTCATCATACGACGGGACAGTTACCATGCAAAAGTCTGCACGTGCTTCAGGCCACACCCACCCTTTTGTCGTTGGATCTCCGTTTCCCGTAGTGGTTTCCTGCGAGTAGATCCTCTCAGACGCCAGATCGTAGACCGACACCTGGGTGAGTGGGTGATAACTGGGAACCGGGTGACAGTCCTCGCTTGTACACATAGATCCGCCCATGGCGATCAACACTCCCTTTTTCCCGTATGGGAGATAGACCAGTCCGCCACCGGTTCTTTGGACGCCGAACCCGCCCGGAACATCGTAATAGGAGAAGTTGTGGGTTTTCATGTCGAATTCGATGAGTTGTCGTTGGTAGATTCTGTCATGCATTCCAAAAGTGGTAGAGTTGTCTGCCCAACCGCCCATCCAGTATGCTTTTCTTGTTTCTGGAACGCTCACGCTTGCGCCGCGGGCCAGGCGGAAGGCTGGAGGATTTTGGACGGAGATTTTCTCCCAGGATCCAGTGCTCTCGGTGTATGACCATACCGTTTCTACCGCAGATGGAGCACTGGCGGAGGAGTTGGAGTACTGACCGCCGAAGAGGAAGAGTCGATCTGTGTTGTCGCTCCATAAAGCGCCCATAGCAACTTGGGGAACATCGTCGGGTACACTTTGGATGTGGAGGATCCTGTTCTCGTCAGACAGATTCACATATCGTAGGCCTTGGTCTGTTGAACAACCACGTTAGTTGAGCTCATTGTCATCGGATATGGGGTACAGGGGAAAGCAATCACATGGAAGCCATGTCGGCACGCCACCGGTGCAGTTATACAAAGCCAGTCCGCCGTAAAAGTATAACCTGTTCTTCAAGACTGCGCCTACGCCTTGGAGTCAGCAACAATATATCATCTGTTCTTTAGGCCAAAGAAGCTCACTCTGCTCAAATTTGCTCTTCACAAAACCATCGGGATTGCATTTTTGGGCTCTGGCTAGGCACAACGTCAATAGTTGATTCAGAAGCAACCACAACAGAGTTGTAATCTTCATGGTAAGAGAGCTTCACTCGACTGACCGTTAAGAGAACGCCGAGCAAGACATAAGTCTTGCGATGGGAAGGCATCTTATACACGAGGAAACTTGTGCACAGTCGTTCAGTTTCTGCCTATGATGATGTATGTTATGCTCTTTCGGGGATGATGAGCCGACAGATAAGGGTAAAGGACGGAAGCTTTGCGCACAGCTGGCCACCGGCAGCCTATACACTTGTCAGGCCAAGCCAAAAGTAGCGTCCTAAGAGACGATATGGGTGCTCCAGACCAATAATCATCAGTAGTTTGACCGAGTGAGATAACACCGCCGCCCCCCAACACAACGGTGTAATTTCCGCAACAAGAAAACAACAAATGCATTGGCCCTGCCAAGAAGAAGTATGTTTCAGGAATTCAGCCTTGTAAGGTTTGGGGATGCTGCAACCGAAATTCCGAAGATCGGGGTTGCGATGAACGTGGAAACACGGGATCAGAAATGCGGGGGCCTCCTATTACGGAAATATCGCCCGACGGGCATCTAATCCGGTGCTCGTCAGGGCTAGAAACGCCCAGTTTGACCCCGTACTGGCACATATGGTTGTTTGTTTTTGGAGATTGCCATATGATGCTCTTCGCGGAACGACGAAAACCATCCGCACGACAGCCATGGTTGGCTTGGATATCCAAGCTGGTGTCCGTTTTTGTTGTTGTTGTTGTTGTTGTTGTTGTTGTTGCTGTCAAGTTGTTTGCCCAGAAAATGACTGTGGGCGACTCGTACACGGTTCAGAAGCTAGAATTGTTCTAGAATAGTGATTCTGCAGGGCTGTAGCGGCAACCAGTCCGAGGTTATAGGGTGCTCTTCTTCAGGGTCTTCAGGGGTGTGTAGCCTGAACAGGGCAGCGCCATTTCTTTCTCGTCTCTCGCCATATCGGGTTATCCGGCGCGATAAGACTTGGTCGTTGAAAGGGTTGGATGACTAGAGGTTCTTATTGGGATGTCTCGAGGTCGAACGGCAGGCCAGCGAGCGAACCACAAGGGTGCTGCTGTCGCCTGTCGTGCGGTACTCCACGGCATGAAGTCATTGAGGTGGATATCGTGATGCTCCGGCGGAGGTACGCTGGTCGGCTAGCAATCTGCTTCCTGTACTTGTGGTTATAGCACAGCGGTGAGGAACGGGATCGATACCTATCGGCGGGAAGTCGGAAAGAAGACGGTGCTGCTGGTGTTCTTAATCGTCGTCGATGACAGTGGTAGGTAGCCTTCGATGTGGGGTGTGAAAACAACACAAAGCACAGCGCGCCACCCTTCGAGAAGGCCTGGTGTTCTGATGGTTCCAGTGGTTGTCAGCGAATCATTGCAGAGCCTGGAGTTGTTCGAGATACGTAGCTGTCCCTCATCATGTTAGCTTGAAACGAGGACAACAAAGGGGACCAACAGCTACACTACATCAGCGCGGTCAGCGTCTTACCTCGTCTCCTTCTGGAAACCAGCTTCAGTCTCATGCAGCTTGGTATCACCACTCTGAAACGTCCCTGCGATTTCTGCAATTGTTGCTGTTGTGAACGTCGGAATAAACGTCCGTCGGAGTCGCTGAAATGAACTGGACTGGACTGGTTACTGTACTAGATGCCGGCGGTTACTGAGCACCACGCACTGTAGAGGTATTGAGAAGTAAACCAAAACGGCCCGACCCCGCGCTGCCGAGCGGTTGCGGCCCGGGGGACGGGACTGGACAGTTCAGTTGCCAGGGCATCTCGGGCTTCCATCTGGACCTGCCGCGGGCGACAGGCGCAACAACCAAGACGGGACGAAAGAGTAATCCCGTCCTTTCAGTTCCCTCTGATGTTTTTTCTTTGCCTTCTTCGCCGTTATCTACCTCTTAACATATTCACTTCAAGAACCATTAGCTACCCCTACCTACTCCAGCTACAACCACCTCGGCACACGGTGGTGAGTGAGGTGTATCGATGGTAAACGGGCGCCATAGCTCCCACCCGACCTCCACTGACACTTGGGTTACGTCAAAGCGCCGGCCATTGCGATCGAAATAAGTAAGTAGGTATGTAGAGGTACCCCACAATTGTCCGCCATCGCTACTACAAGGGGCCCAAGTCCCGACCCCCGGCCGCGGCCACATCGCCAACCAGGTTCCCCACCACTGATGCTTTCCACTTGTGACCGGGCTCCCGCTCTTCGTCGTCGCACACGGACCGCTACCTACACGTCGTCACACACTCCTCGACAGCTACATCAACCTCTAGCAATACCTATTTCTGTGAGTAATGTGCGCAGCGATTGCACCCAGAGATGATTGCCATTGACCAAACCTCCTTTGCAGACCCCTACAGCCGACAGCTTCCATCGACCTGACGCAATGCTCCGCCACAGTTGAGCTGTCCCAACTGCCCTGATCCACCCCACGAAGCCGCCCGCAAACGGACTTTGGGCAAGCGATCTCGAAGCATTCCCTTAGCACACAACATACAAATCACGTTAACCCGCACCTGCCTGTGCCCGATAGCACTCTCGCGACTGGCATGATCGATCGTCTGTTGCGTCCGTAACCAAGCCGACGATATAACCTCCAAAGCGTCCGCCCAACATGCGCCGGAGTCGAACACCGCCTCCATCGCCCTACCGCGTTCTGGCGCACCATGGCGGACCCCAACCACCGCAAGACTCGGGTGCCCTCATCAGGTCCTTCAATGTCGAGACCAATCCCACTCGCCCGATTCGCCCCTCTCCTCTGACGGCCTCGACCATCCCGGACATGCCTCTCGACCTGGTGGACCGAATCCGATCGTTTCCCCTCTTCGTGTCCGCCCCAGAAGGCTTCCTCGTTGCGATTGGCACCCATCTCAAACCCCAGGTCCATGCCGCCCAAGACCACATCCTCACAGAAGGCGACGAAGCAAAAGCCATGTACTGGCTGGTCCGTGGCGTGGTCGCCGTCACGTCCCGCGACGGCGAAGCTGTCTATGCCGAACTCAAACCCGGCGCCTTCTTTGGCGAGATTGGTGTGCTCATGGACGTTCCACGAACTGCGACTATCATTGCGAGGACGAAATGCCTGCTGGTCGTTCTTAAGAAGGAGGACCTACACGCCGAACTGCCCAAGTATCCTGACATGGAAAAGGCTATTCGCCAGGAAGCACAGGAAAGGTTGACCATCTTGAAAAAGAAGCGGCAGGAAGGCAGGCAAATGGCCAATTCTTTGAGCAATAACCTAGCCCGAGAAGCAGTGCCTGGCGAAGTTAGTACCGGAGAGTCGGGCAGCATCAAGGAGGGCGCCGTGGTCAGAAGCAAGAAGCGCAAGTCGCCCAGTCCTGGTGTGATTGACGACCCGACCATTAGTGGTAGCGCCCTGGGAAGCGGTTACGTCAATGTGCGAAAGACGCTTAAAGAGCTTCCGCTGTTCTCGACGCTGCCTCCCGATATTCTGCACTTCCTGGGCCTAAGCGCACAGCCAAAGTCGTACTCGCCTTTTACCGACATTGTCCGTCAAGGCAGTCCTGGTAACGACATTTTCTTCATAGTTCGGGGTGAAGCCGAGGTCGTACACGAATCGGAAAAGACGTTCTCACGACCCCGTCTAAAACAAGGACAATACTTCGGTGAGGTGGCTAGCCTAGGCTTGTCCGAAGGGAGAACTGCCACGGTCCGGTCCATTACTGCAGTCGAATGTTTGATGATTGGAGGGGATGCGCTTGAAGAGCTCTGGAAGCGTTGTCCACCCGAGATTCGGTCCCAGGTGGAAGAGACGGCTCGGAGGCGCATCAAGGGAACGGATGAAGATGTGGAGATGGTGGATGCCCAGCCCGAAGTTACCTTCACCACACCTTCGAAGCCAACCTCGCCGGCTAAAGACAAGACACAACAGCCCACAGATCCCGATCCGTTCCTTAGCGTGGACATGGAGAACATTCGCAATCGCCGTAGGAACTCGATCGTCCCGCCAACTCCTCAAACCGATGCTTCTGCCATCGTTAACGGCATGAAGGCTATCACTCCCGAGAGCAGCCCGCTGCGACATTCGGTGGCAGACGGCTCCCCGATCCCGAGCAAGCGCGCGCGAACTTTACCTTGGAGACCATCCACGATCGAAGACGAAGCCAAGAAGCTTTCCCTGCCGGATGACATCCTGGTGTGCATCTTCCAACACATGGATCTCCTCGAGTTGATCAGACTACGAATTGTTTGCCGAGACTGGCGTCGCCTGCTCACCACCAGCCCGAACCTCTGCACCCATGTTGACCTCAGTCTGATCAACCGCAAGGTGACCGACTGGTCCCTTATTCACATCCTTGCCCCCTTCATTGGTCTGCGGCCTGTCGAGGTTGATATCAGCAACTGCTTCCACATCACTGACGAAGGGTTCCAAGCCCTGTGGAAACAATGCGGCAAGAACATCAAGGTCTGGAAGATGCGCAGTGTCTGGGACGTTTCCGCGTCGCAAATTCTCGAAATGTCCGAAAACGCCAAAAGTCTCGAGGAACTCGACTGGTCCAACTGCCGCAAAGTAGGCGACAACTTGCTCGCCAGGGTAGTTGGCTGGGTGGTCCCCGAGCCTCCCCCATCCCGGTCCTCTGAGAATGGCAAGGTGGTCATCGCCTCTTCCAACTCTCGTAGCCGTCGTTCAAAGCCTACCGCCAACGGCTCAGCCACCGCTCCCGCCCAGCCACCGCCCGGCACCGTCATAGGCTGCCCCAACCTGGCCCGCCTTAATCTCTCCTACTGCAAACACATCACCGACCGCTCCATGCACCACCTCGCGCTACATGCCTCCTCCCGTCTCCAATCTCTCTCCCTAACACGCTGCACAAGCATTACCGACCAAGGCTTCCAAACCTGGTCTCCGCATCGCTTTCCCAACCTCACGACCCTCTGCCTAGCAGATTGCACCTACCTCACCGACACCTCCATCATTGCCCTAGTGAACTCGTGCAAGTCCCTAACCCATCTCGATCTTTCCTTTTGCTGCGCCTTGTCCGATACCGCCACCGAGGTTATTGCGCTCGGTCTGCCGGGTCTGAGGGAACTACGGATGGCGTTCTGCGGCAGCGCTGTGTCCGACGCGAGTCTGGGCTGCGTAGCGCTGCATCTCAACGAGCTTCGTGGGCTGAGCGTGCGCGGGTGCGTGCGAGTGACGGGGGTGGGCGTGGAGAACGTCCTGGAGGGGTGTGGAAGACTGGAGTGGGTGGATGTTAGCCAGTGTAGGAACCTCGGGGGGTGGTTGGTTGGAGGAGGAGTGGGGAGGTGGGGATTTGATGAGCGCGTTGTAAAGAAAAAGGGTGGTGATGATGCTTTGAGGATGATGGAGAGCAAGGCACAAGGGGGTAAGATGGGAGCTGGAGGGGTGGGTGGTGGTGTGCAGAGACCGAGGGGAAACAACGGCGGACTGAGACAAAGTAGAGGTAAGGTGTTAGGACCGGGACCGGTGATGAGGCCAATTATCCCGCCGAAAGGAGTGACAAACCACCGGACGAGGAAGCCGATTCGATTCGTGGTTGAGAAGTGTGGTCTCGAGTTAAGGTGAGGTTGCACGAGAGTCCGAGGCTGAGCCAGGAATGACATAGAGGGATGACATGGAACTGGACATACATACATGGGCTGGTTAACTGCACACAATGTTTTAGTATTACACTGGGGCTTGTATAGGTTGGCTTCAGTTCCTCATAAGCACGGCAAAGTCGAGTTGTTTGCATCGACCGGCTGAACAGGATCAACAGGACTTGGCTTGGTGTTTCTGGCTTTGGACATTCGTTTTGTATATATTACCTAGAGGTACCTGGGATTCTGGATGGGGCAACGGAACCTATCTGCATACACATAAGGACGACAGAACATACGATATTGATACCCCGTCATTCCTACACTGGCCTCGTGGTATATATGTGATTTTGAGCGTGATCGTATCTAGGTAGTATGCGAAACTAGACCGTGACCGGCTCTGAGAATTTCTGTACTGGGTCTGTACCAGTAGTACCTATATAAGACTGCTGCCCATCTCATCTTCCCGTGGTCCGTTGGTGTAATGGCTGAACATTGCCTAACTTGGCGTATTGTTGTGCTGTCCGCGGCCGTACGATAGCGTGGAAGTTACTACCGATGCGAGTTAGGTATTAACCTTCTTTTTCGTTTTTCTGAACTGGTTGATTTGGCTTGATCCCCCAAAAGATCCAGGCCCTGCCCAGTTTCACAGACGGGGATTTGCTCGCGTAGAAACCATATGTAAGAGGCAAAAGTCTCTGGAGTGCTGCTTCTTGTACCGCCAAGGGTTGTCGCTATTTTGACGTTGTGGACATTGGAACCATTATGACAGACATTCAGGTACTCTGATAATATATGTTATTCGTTATGTCGTTCTATCATCTACAGATAACGCTTGTAGTCAAACATGCTCTCAAACGCCTACACCATGGAGATGCCTACCTGATAAAACAAATCCAACAACCCAGAATGGGAAAAAAAAAACCGCTGACTGCTAGAAACCAAGGCCAAAAGAGAACACAGACCCAGAAAGACAGGACGCCCGAGGGACAAAAGCCTGTTCACAGGAACATGTTCCTCCTATCCGCGTCCCTTACCCTACCTCCTGGCGCCGTGTAATCCACACCTGCGACACTACTAAGGTCCTTTTCGAACACAGACTGAATCTTAGTGACCTGCAGAAGCCTAGCCAGGTCGAGCTTTACACCCTCAAAGCTCGCCAGTGATTCAGCGGCCTTGACCGCATTCTTGATCTGCCGCCCATTCAAGTCGTGTTCCGCCAACCTCTCCAATCCCCGCTCATCAATGTCCACACCTCCGGGCACCATTCCGCAAAAATTCTTCCAGATTTGAAGCTTGGATTCGAAGCTCAGGTCCGTATACCTGATAGGTATGTGGATCCTGGACTTGAATGCTTCGTCGAAGGTGGTGACGCGGTTGGTGGTGAGAAAGAGGATACCGGTGTAGTACTCGAGGACACGCAAGAAGACCGAGACCATGGCGTTCCTGTGCAGATCATGCAGGGCACGCTGCTCGAGAAAAATGTCTGCCTCGTCAATGAGCAGAACGGCACGCCATGTGGCGGTCATGTCCATGATCTGGGTGAGTTGGGCGTCAAGCTCGGAGGAGACGCAACCGAGATCGCCCGATGAGACCATATACAAGGGGCGCTGAACGTACTCGGCTACGCATTCTGCCGTCAGTGTTTTGCCGACACCCGGAGGGCCGTGAAGCACGCAGACAAGGCCTTGGCCTTTGCCTTTGACAATGTCGTCAAACCCGGGCCGCTCACGGGTGTGGTTGGAGACAAGGGCTTGGACGGTCTTCTTGATGGTGGGGTCGAGGACGAGGCCGTCAAAGCACGAAGTGTTCCACTGGATGGGTTCCAGCTTGTCGACGAAGAACTCGAGGAACCGCTTGATGGTGAAGGAATATCCGCGAACGGTGGCGTTGGTGAGCATGGCTTGCTCGTCAGTCAGAGGCTCATATTCTTTGGTCTCTGATGTGAACTTGATGGAGGACAGTGAGGGGGCTTTGGGCCTTGAACTCGGCAACTTTTTAACAACAAACGAGTGGTCGGCCGCCAGCCGGTGGAAGGTGGCGCAGTCAATCATGACGCGCCCGTTGACGCCGAAGCGAGCGTAACCTTGCATCTCCTTTTTGATGACGGCGATGCCATTGTATTGAACGTAATGTTGGCCGAGATGCTTCTCCCACTTGCGTCCACGGGCTAGTAGGGTCTTTCGGATCCCGTCGGCGTCCTCGTGTAGATGAAGGGGGACGATGTCCAGTTCGCTAAGCTGGACAACGCCAGTGTACTTGCGGAAGGTCAGATGCGACTTGAGGGTTCCCACATTCTCGCCGTCGAAGTCAATGTAGCGACAGGAGAGGGTCATGCCGACAAGATTGGCGTGCTCATCGTACTCATCATAGTACCGGCGGACGCGATATGCGCGATCCTGATCCAAGATCTTGCAATGAACAATGGTGTCGGGTGGTAGGAGAGTCCAGGCGTTATCGTACGAGATGGCGCGAATCTCGCCGGATATGCACTTTTCGTAGGCAGCAATCTCGGACTCAAAGTGGTTGTTGATCCAGTCCATGAGGAGGTTGAAATGTTGAAGGGACTCCTGGTCGTCGGTAAAGCGCTTCACGCCCTCGGCTTGGAGTTCCTTGCGGTAGTGAAAGAGGGCATGGTAGGGAGCTTCGATCTGGACATCGTCGACATCGATGGGGTCGGAGGGATAGTCGCCAATGACGTCCCTGAGGAGCTGACGCAGAGGCTGGGGGTTAACGTAGAGGCGGGTGTTGTCATGTTCGCCGCGGTGGTCGTAGTGCTTGACGAGGCAAAAGGCATACAGACGCCACCAGTCCTTTTGTGCTGGCTTCTCGATCTCGGTCTTGCGCTCGGTGAAATAGTGCTCGTCCTTCTCGTCATATCTCCTATCAAGGTGCTTAAACTCGCACTTCATGGTCTGGTCCTCTGGGGGCTTGTCTTTGTCGTCTGTGGCCGAATCTTTTATGTCTGAGTCTGCCTTTTCGTCTGTTTGGCTAGTTTCGTCTTTTTTGTGCTCGGGCGCATCTTGGGGCTTGGTCTCGTCGTGGTCGTTGACCCCGTTCGTCTCGGTACACTTGCAGGTACATGTACACATGGCCTTGACGGGTTCTTGAACAGGAGCCCCATTGGGAACATCCTCAGTGACGGCAGCAGGAGCCATAATGTCTGATGTGTAGATGCTGTGATATGCCTGAAGGAGGCAAAAGAATGGTAGCTATGGTAGCACAAGAAGACAGGCAGAAGGTTTGCGACAGGATTCTGGGGGACAAGGAGCAAAGACAAGCAGAGGCATACTTCAACCTTTTATACTTTGCCCGACTTAGCTACCTCCACAAGCCCTACCTTCCTGCCATCCCATGTCTGACATCTCTATGCAGGGCGCCTGCGATGGCAACCACCAACGGCTGGCCTCATCCAAGGCAGTGACGGTGAGGAAAGAAGAGGTCAAAGTCGCTGACGATGCAGGCTGCCGTGGCTGGTTGTGTTCCCTCATTGATGCCCAGCGAATGGCGGCCGTCATCTTCTCCACACTTGACCAGGCAGACGGGCGACCTCTTGTTCGGCTTCCACTGATTGTTTCATTCTCTTTGGCTGTCCAAACGACCACCACCCATGGCGATGCTGGAAACTTGTGGGGCCGGGCGCGCGATGACTCGTTACCGATGTGGTGATTGTGACGATCTAACGGCAGGCAGAAGCGAGACATGCTGGACAAGGACGACTTAAGTGGGACTGAGGCTGAGTTTCTGTCTTGCAGCGATTGCGCCAATGGTGAGAAGGAAAAAAAGTAGTGAAAGGATGAAAGACGGGAGCAGGGGAGAAAAAGAGGAGGGAGCCTGGCTGCGCTGCCGATTCTCGGACCAATCCAGGGCAGGCGCCATGATCCTCCACTGCTGACGAAGGGCGGGGCGCAGGGGTCCCCGCAGCGCCATAACCTAGGCAGTGCCCTGTAGCTTTCAGAGCAACTCTCCTTGCCCTCTCCACTAGGGACCTCTCCGCTCAGCCCTATACCCCAGTGGAGAGGGAATGGATCCCACCTAATCGAGCCCCAGTTCCGTCAGTTGTAATGGCATTCCACTTCGGTTTTTCGTCAACAGCATCGTCAACCTCACAGGACACTCAATACGTTTCACCACGTTGGCTTTTCGAGCCCAATACTCCAGTCTTCACCATATCTTTTGCGATGTGGATTTCGTCAACGCATCTCTTGGCAGCGGCAAATGTGCTCGAGTTCTCATAGGGACGGGATGAACGAACGCCGTTCATCTCTCGACGAATTTCATCCGAGGCATCGATCCAATCTTGCTTGGTACATACGGTCCTTTGAAATGGACTGCGAAGTCAACAAGAAGCGAGTCTCTTGAGATAGCATTCTGAGATAGCATTCTTTCTGAAAGATATCTAGACCCCCGCGCCAACCCGAAATCTGATATGACAAGCGGAAGAGCAGATGCTGTCAAGCTGAAGCCGACATGTTCTTCGCTTTCTTGGCCGAATATGTCGTCCTCGCAAGGGACTGTTGCAAGCGCACTCTCTTCTTATTTTCCAACTGTCTCAGCTCATATGATGGCTTGAGGCCCGGTTTTCTCCTTGGTGCCCCGCAACTTATCGTTATCGTTCCCAAGTCCCGTCCGGGTTGACAGATGAAAACCTCGAAAGATGGAAAGAGCGCCCATAAGTGAAGACCCCGCCGCGCGTCGAGCAGGTCTCGAGGCTGTCCTGCGGACTGAGCCAAAAGGCCGCGGGAGCCCAGACGCGTTTGAGAAGGCGAATTTTCCTCCATCCCTTCTGGCTCGCCGAGAGAGAACTAGGAACCTTGCTCGTCCTGAACAGAACACGCCTCACCTACCGCCGTTCACGTCCCCGGATGCGCATTTGTTAGAGCAGCCCTGGCCTATCTGAATGTCCTTTTACTTACGCCCACTTAGTACTTTCTTTTCCAAGGTCCCAACCGATCTTGAATCCATTCAGTCTCCTTCTTCGTTCGGTGCCAGGAAGGACACGCCCACACGATGCCCCTCATCAAGACCGAACCAGGCGTGAGGATCAAGTCAGAGCACGAAGCTAGGTTCGACTTCTCCTCTATTCCACGCCCACCCGTTTCCTCGGTATATGTCAAACAAGAGGATTGCAAGTCCCCCTCTGTGCTTGTCAAACAGGAAGATCGCAAGCCCGTGAGTTCATCTTTCTGGCACCCACTTGCTCTCTGGCTAACGTAACGTGTCTACCTAGGACTTCTTTCTATCTCCCAACGATGGCCCGTCAAGGAGACATCGGAGATTCCGTCATGCCCGCAACTGCATGGTTCATAGGCTAAGATATGGCGAAACGATACGCGCCCACTACAATCACTCAGAGAGCACGGTGGTGTTTACTCTGAGTGATGGAGCAGCCTCTATCATTGACGACTTCCCGGAAGAGGGGCACCAAGCCGAGGAAATGATTTTCCAGCGTTTACAGAGGGCAAACTTCAACATCCAACCCATAGAGCCTTCGGGATTCCTATGCCGCGAGGTACAGCGCCAGCTATCTGTTTGTCAGTCCAGCCCACCAAAGGTCATTTCCACCGCAGTGCAACGGACATCTGGGAACAATCACGCGCCTGGAGCTATTGCAAAGCAAGAACAGACGAACTCAGAAAGCAAGTCTCTTGCTTCAACGGTACACGCGAAGCCTTCTCCTTTACCTGCATCGTTCTTCGGCAGACCTCAACCCGCTACCCATATCCCGCAGGTCACATTCAGTACCCCAGTACCTCAAAAGCCGTCCGAAAGCATCTTTGATATATCCCAGCCCAAAGATCAGTCCAACATTTTTTCTCATCCCATCCCGCCGAAACACAGATCTTCTCCGTCCCTCAACTTCTCATCCGACCTCACATCGGGCCTTGCGGTAGGCTGTGGTAATCAAAGTACGAGAAGCCCTCGCAGCATGTTCAGTCATTCTTTCTCGGCTACAGAGTCGCCTTTTTCAAGCAAGTCAGCCCTTTGGCCCACAGAATCCTTCAATGGCTTTTCTCTCTTCAATCCCACTGCTGGCCCGGATGTTTTCGCCTCCTCCCTTGCCGCCACTGTCAAGCCTTCATCGGAGGTAATCGTTATCGACTCCTCTCCCGAGTCATCACCGGCATATTCCCCCCAGACAAAGAAGCGCGCTGCGGAAAATCAGGCTCGCAGCGACTAGTCTACCTCTTTCAGTCAGATCCAGCTAGTTTCGCCTTTATGTCTATATTTCCCCGCTTGGTAACATGGATGGTCCTATTGATTACCCAACCTACCGAGGATCCTATTTTTAGGAGGCCAGTGCGTCGTCCTGGAAAGGAGAATTATATACCTCTGGTCAACTGTGCCAATGTTTGGCTCTTTCCCGCTCTGTTGGTGAAAGTGACAATTCCTTGGACGTTGTGATGATGGAGAAGCATATCGGAAGTCCAGTTTGTTGGGCTTCATCTACTGATGTCGTTTCTGATGTTGTTCATGTCGCTATGGATCATGTCTCGTAGTCTTGGTAGCGATTTATGTGGTTATTTTGTACGTTATGTCAAAGATTCTGGCCCTGCCGTCCTCATATTTACATGTGTAGTAATCGGAAACATGTGCTCTCATATGAGCAAACATTCATCTTGAGTTCGATTTTGTCTTTAGTACCTCTGCATATGACATTCCCCATAACAGTCCATATATGTTGTGCATTGTGTTGAACCTGCGTTGTTCTTCAAACAGAACAATACGGAAACAACATAGATGGCACTAGAGTTCAGCGGGTGTCGGTGCCCTATAAAGCTGTGGGTGCTACAGTAAAATTGACCCGTCGTAAGGCTGAAGAAGTGCAGGGATGCTTCCGCCCCACAAGACTTACAAGGCTGCACGGTGAAAATGGATAGTTCCGAGGGGCACTTGAGTTGATGCCGACGGATCCCAAACAAGATCGGTCAATGTTAACCATGAAATTCGCAGCTTTTTCGAGGCCTCCAAAATTGGGGTTGATATTTACGCTGTTCCTTCACGAAGTGTTCTTTAGAGCATCACCGCCGCTTTCGTTAGGTACCAGTCGGTCATGTCAAGACCTTACTTGCTCGTGACCTCACACAATATTTGACTGTCGACATCTTGCTTAGGAGGGCAGAGTACGAGCCTTCCGACAGGCTACATTAGCCACTTTGTGTTCTTTCTGAGTATTCTAAGTAACAGCGTCAGCAGTGGGTAGAAGCCCAAGTTTCCTGCTTTGGGGCATAATAACATCAAATCATCTAGCGTATTTGACATCAAGAGCTCCCACAATCGTTTGTCCATTGCATGGGAAGCAGTAGGTAATCAGCCTCTTCATTATGTTCCAAGGAGTTTGACATCTACCATGATCCCATTATCCTTCACATCCCATTTTTCCCTCTCCACGACACGGTAATTCCTTGGTACTGAAATCAAACACAACGTAGCGCCACTGGTTGCTATTCATATCCCTGTTCACAACTGCTCCAACCTTGGACGCGTGGTAATAGATGCGGCCTGGCTCGAGCGATGCCTGTAGAACAAGGTCGAAATGGCCAATAGAGGTATCTTCGTAACGATCCTCTGTTTGTAATTGAAATGCCTTGAGGTTACCTGGACGAACGTTGCTCCGGAACGACAAGCAAAGAAGGCAAGAGCAGCTATCTCTAGGACCGAACGCGTGGGTACTTGCCCTGTAACATCACTAGAGGTAAGTAGCCCAGGTACCTAAGTAGAGGTATTGACCCAAACACGTTTTCCGTCCTTCCCCCCTCTTCCCTTATCGCTATCAGCGGCTATTCAGCGCTCGTGGCTTCTGCCTGCTTCGTTGGCTTCTTGCTTCCAAATCACCATCACCATCCATTCGGTTATCATCACCATCCTAAATTCCACTTTGCAATAACTCAAACCCCAAGGAAGTACATCTTTGCACCATGAACACACCGCCAATCTCCTCCGAGGCAGCTATCATTGCCAGCATTGAAAGGCGCCGCTACAACATCATGTCGGCAATCCAAAGCTCATTCGGCCTCAGCAAAGACCGCGTTATATACATCATTACCAAGGTCATTATGCCCGAGACCTTTGATGCGTGTTGTAACTGGATCAGAGTCAAGAGAAGCTGCGGAGGCGGGTGCAAGTCCGAACTCACCATCGACCTTATCACCAACCCATTGACGATGTTCGACTGGTGGGTTAATTACAACCTCTGGGCGCATTTCTGTAAGTTTCACTCTTTGTGGCCCTGGGATTCCAGAAGCAGGGATTGGAATGCTTACAACTGTCGCCAAGTTTGCGAGTATATCCACCAGCCGCAGTTCGGAGAGCTTGAGAACATGGCACCTCAGTATCGAAGCTTTCTCGACACAAACGAGTTACGTACGCTGGAGGGTGAAAATGCCAAGGATAAAAAGGTACGAGTGGGTGTAAAGCAAGAAGAAAAGGATCAGGGTGAGGAAAGGTGACTGAATGGGGAAAATGAATATGATGTTGATCCTGGCCTGCCATAAATGGTGCTACCGATGGAAGGAGTGCTCTCGATTGCGTGATGAACAATAGCGCCCGGCTAGGAAATTGCAAAAAGAGTTGAGCATAGATTAGGATATAGAGATCGTGACATTGAGTCGGAGACGATTTTACTGTTCGTTGGGTCTTGCTGCATGTGGTAACTGGAGGGATGGCACCCAGGCGAGCACCAGGCTACCTAGGATGCTGAGATACTCGGCTAGGTAGGATGGGGTATCGAATTATCGTCGCCCGAGAAGCATGATTTATACGAGTCGGCAGTGGAGGATCGGATCTCATGTTCGGGACGGTAGCTGCTCGGATCGAAGGTATCAGCACCGACAGTTCGAGACAAGCAGCAAGTAGACATGGCGAAGCCGCGAAGGGGGGAAATAATCGAAGGATTGCCTTTGCAAGCGACAGATCATGCAGGTAGTAGTGGGTTTTGCAGGCATGGATGAATGGCAACTCCTAGGGAACGTGATGGACAATAGATGGTTCGTAGTTGCGATGCTGTCTGGTCGCGGTGAGGCCTAGAACTAGCTGACCGAGACGGGGGACACATGCAATGACGGAGGAAGACGAAACAAACAGAAAGCGAGAAAGCCCGATTGAAGAAAGTGTTTGCTTGTACAAGGCTCTATCCAGGCAGACAAAACACACGCGGGACGTGAAAGAGTTGCAGATGGGTGGCTGATGCAAGTGGTAGGGCGATGACCTGACCGGTGATCGTGGTTATTCCGATTCCTTTCGTCGGCTACCATGATGAGGAGCCCTTCATTATTTCTAGGTGGTTTCTCCCGTCAGCATCGCGCATGTGCAAGAGGCACGTCTGACTGGAAATACCTTACACTGACCAAGTGCGCGACAATGCAATTCCAATTCAGAACATCAGGTAGGGGGCCTGCCTTGGCTGGCAACTTAACGCAGGCAGTAAACGGGATGCAAACGCTGCGACAGACGCGGCCGCCATCAAGGTCCCGGCCTCCTTCCCGCCCCCGTCGTCCCTAAGAAAAGCGCGACCGACAACAAAATTTTGCCTACTACATCTACATACCTCTACCTACCGTAGGTAGGTACACAGCAGATTGACGTGAATGAGAGCCCATCTACGTATCGTCAATTGTACTGAGCTTCTGCTGCATAAGTGGCAGGGCCGCACCACAAATTCCCAATTTAATGTCAATCGCATAGAAGCTAGAACTTGGCCACTATGCCTAATTGCCGAATCATGACTGGAACGAGTGTCCAAGTACCTACCTCTACCCTCCCATTCGTTTCCAGTCACTTCTCCTCGGGCTATCACACCACTTTAAATCGGACAACAAGCTAACAAGACTCGTCTTTCACAGAAGAAACACCCAATGTCCTACCTTGCGACCTTTCAGATTTGATTCTTCCGACACTTCAGCATCGACAGCGACGCCACCCACGGCACTGAGCGCTCTACAAATCGCCATACTACCCCGACTCTACGAGATAACAAGGCTCCAACTGATCTAACAATCCTCGAAAGCAGGGGCCACAACACCACAAGTTCATATACCAGGCCGTTCCCCCAATACCATGCCAATGCCTCCAGCGCCACGAATCCACGCATTCGTCTCCATCGAAGCTATGGAGCCGTACACCTGCGCGACTCTTCATATCCCAATGCTGTTCACCAGACCCCTTGTCCCGTTTCGCTTGGCTGCTATGGGCCGATCTTCAGAGAGAGCTAGGGTACGGAAAGATGACGCCCAATGTCAAATCGAGCGGCAGCATAGCTGCTACATAAAGCGAAAAATCGGCCATTACTCACAATTCTTGAAATATCAAATGCAGTTGCTAAAAAGTCATTGGACAAACAGCAGAAACTGTCTCTCTCGTCTTCATAGTTACAAGCAAGTTGCAAGCAACCAAGACCAACTCTCAACCTCCGTTACGCCATTTTGTCCTCGCTCCATGTCTTTTTGACCCCTCTATATGTTGAATGACAGCGCAAAAATGCATCACCAGAAGAAGAAACGTTGTCTGAACCTACTATAGACTGCAGACACATGTGCAGTACGAGCCTCAGTCGTCTGTCAGATCAATCTCAACCTTGCCGTCTTCCAACCGGCGCTGTTTGTAGCGGGAAGCGAACAGAGCTGCGTCCATGGGCTCTCTCTTGATGCCACGGGCTTCGACGGCAAGTTCGGGCTTGATACGCTTGATACGCTGTCACAAAACATCCTGCAGTTAGCCCAGCTTGTTGTGCTTTGGGACAATAGATCTAGAGAAGACAAGAGAAATGCGTACCATGAACTCTTCCTCGACATCAATGACTTCTTTGGGTCGGGGTACAATGAACTCCCGAATAAGGCCCTCTAACATATCATGTTAGCAGTGGCTTTGATGCAAATGCCGTACCGAATTGCAGCATAATAGGTGAAACTCACCCATCGTGCGGTATCTAAACTCGAAGACCGCAAAGGGCCGGTGAAGCGGATCCGCGGAAGTAACAGCGTAAAACTTGGGCGCAGTGGCCGCTTCCGACTTGAACCTAAGTGTGAGTGAGTTGTTAACCAGCTGTTGTGACTTGTGGCCTTTTCAGGAAACTGAATACTCACGTGGCTCTGCTGTCTACTGCTTTCCCCTTTAGGGCCTTCTCTGCCACCTTTCCAACGGATGTTTTGGGCGGAGCTATAGAACCTCTTCCTGAAACCGGAGTCCCATCATAGACCAACTCGAGTTTAACAACGATTGTGCCATACCTGCTGGCTTCTTCAATCTGTTTCTTGATGTCCTTTTCTGAGACCGGTGCCTCCACTGCATGGTTTTACGTCAGCATCTGAGGCAGCCAAAAGCCTCAGACAAACGGAGATCAAAGTAGCGTGGTCCTACCAATGTCGAGTGAAGAGAAGCTGAAAGTTATCTTTTTCCATCCAGTCACGTTGTTGCCAACGCTGGCGGCGGAGAAAGTGTCGACTTGATTCCTTATGAGGTGCGGTCGAAGGGACCAATTGTCGATTATGACTGTCAAACTGATTTGCCGACGGAAATCTGGGAAGCCGAGCCCGGTACTGTCGATGGCGACTTCGAACTGCTCTCCTGGCTTTGACTCCACATAAGCCAACGCGTATGGATCTTCCTCACTAATCCTCGAGGACAACTTGTGGAACTTGTACTTCTTTGAGCCCGCCTTGACATCGTCTGGCGGCGCATCGTATTCCTTGGCAAGTTCACCATTAGCCTTAATGTCGACCTTGAGGCCCGGGAGGCAGCTCAAGAAAGCCATGTTCAGGCGACGATCTGCGTCTGGTTGAGGGACCAAATCGAGTTGTCGAAGTGAAGGAGTTAAGAGGGAAAACCAGAGAGTGGGGACGGTACCAAGTCGACAGGTTGCGGGAATTTCAATTCCTACCTCAACTTTGGTGTTTCGCAGGGCATCGTATGGGATCGTGGCGGACGCGTCACTGCACCCTCGGACGCACAAAAGAAGGTCACAATTGGAAAGAACATGCAGTTGATCGCGGCCGACTCACGAAAGCACGTGTCTCGTTTGCAGCCCCTCGCGCGCCAAGCACTGATGCAGTGCCCCCATTTCAGCCCACCTCCATGTCCCCCCCCCCCCCCCCTCGCGCCACAAAAAAAAAAATCCCCCCCAAAATGACGGACCCTTCTTGGGAATCGTCGCATGAAATCAAGGATTTCAATATCCGGGGCTGTCTGTTGCCGTGTCCATGAGTGAAAGCACCATCCATGGAACCAGATCAATCAGTCACCGAGGCAGAGAACAGCCCAAACTAGATAACAGTGTATTCCTTGCCTGCGTTGAATGATTTACAATCAGCACCCCATTCGATTAACATCCCATCGGTGATCCTAGGTACCCTGCACCACGTATTTAAAAACTGGGATTTAGTGGCCCTTGTCTACCTAGAGGTAGGATTCAAGGACTCTCCTGACACTTTAGTTCCACATATCCGGGCTTCATCGGGATCCACATCTCCGGTCTCGACCCGGGACTGGGACATTCCCGTCTGTTGTTCATTTACTCTCCCCGGCATAGAGTACTTTTCAACTCTACAAGATGAAGTGCTCGCAAATTAATATGAACGTTCAATAGGGGCAGGGACACATAATTCAATACCTGGACTAAAAAAATAAAGGGCTGCGAGATGGTTTGATCGTTTGAGGCATAATGCATCTCGTCTGTTAAAGAACTCGACTAAGGGCGTGTTCTATTCGCCTTTTTTGGGTCTTTTCACCAGGATTTTAGATACTTTGGGTGAAAAGGTCGCACAGACCAATTTTTACCAGGTTACAGCCTTGGCATTCAAGCAACTTAGTATTCTAGTAAAAATATAAGTGAAAATCGTATTCTATATACTTTTATAAAATCTGTGAGCGCATAGCAATAAATCTACTAATTAATAGCCCAAACAGCTACAAATACTTTTATAATCTAGAAGGCCGGTTAACGTATTAATTTGTATAATTATAACCCCCTTCAAATATTAGTTTGACTGTAATTATAAATTATCTATTAGTTGTAGTAAAAGACTAACAATTTCTAATGTCATTAAATTATATAAAACGGTTAATAAATATCAATCTATATACCTAATTTTGTTTATCTTTTTCTATAACCGTTAGTACTAATCTCTTAACCGCCCGCTATAGCTTCTTAAAATTTGATTATATATACCTCCTCCTCCAATACCTCCTAATTCTTTATACAATCGAATATTATTAATACTAATTAAGCTAAGCCCTCGTCTATTTAATCCTTTACTCCCCTTACCCCCCCTACCTTTAATAAGAAGGGTAAGGGTAAGGTTAGCGTTTTAAAAATTCGATAGACCCCAGTTTAAAAAAAGATTACCCTTAAAGTTCTTATTAAAATTATATTTAACGGTAGTATATTTGATACCGGACACCTGTACTATTATATATAGATTAGATAAGGCTATGGGGTGGCCGGTTACGTGGGACCAGCCCGCCCGGCCGACCGTGTAGGAAGGTTACTATAGTCGGGTCGTACTCGGCCGGCAGCCGTAGACCCAATTGAATAAGTCTACAATAAGATAAGGAAGCTTTATAAGGCGCGCCCTCTAGGCAAGCCATTAGCTTCTACTTCTTCCTTCTATATTATCTTTTACAATGCTTTTAAATATTATTATACTATTATTTATAGAGCACTGTGGTTACTTATATTAAATAGTAACTATAATTAAAAATTAATTAACTAGACTAAACCTTCCAATTAAAGCTTTTAATTAAGTAAACTAATTAATTTTTACCTTCTTAATTGTATAATCCTATATCGCTCGCACAATACCGATCCCGCAATTGCAAATAATAATAAATAATCCTTTATCTTTATATTTCTAAATCCCTTCCTATCCTTCTCTTATACCTTTCCTACACTTCCCCGTGATACTATACCAGCTCACTCGCATCGGCTCGCATCGACTAGAATATTTAATATTGTACTACCCTGATTTAAATACTTATAGGCCTTAATACGAAGAGTAACCCTGTTTATTAATTATTTAACTCTTAAATATATATTTTTCCTCCCTATCTATACTTCTACTAAGTACTTTCTTTACTATTAATACCATTATTCGTTAATAATCATAATTAAGTAAATTATAAATTAAATAATAACCTTTATACTATAGCCGATTATAGCCTAGTTAATAATCTACTTAATAGTTTACTAATATATGATGACTTATTTTAATAAGATAATTATTTTAATAACTTACTACGATAGGAAGATTACTTTATTTACAACTTTAATAACCTAATTAATTACAATAGTACTATTATTAGGTAAGCAAATTACCCCTTAGTTTATAGTAGACTACCTTTTACCTGGCTAATCTAACTACCTCCCAGCCTAGTAGCGTAGTCTAATAAAGCCAAATAATTAAATTTAATTAGTTCTAAATACGATTCTCCTAAATTATTTTAATAGCCGACGAATTTACTACTACCTCCGCCGCCCTTTCTACTACCCAAACTTCTATTTTTACCCCCGAAGCTACAATTACTTTCTATAGTATTACTAACTAAGATAGTTCCTATAATATTACTAATTAAAATAATCTTTACAATATTAAACAACTTACTAATTATAGACGGTTTCTTAATAAGGCCAGCTTTTATTCTTATAACTCCTAATAACCTAACTAAGCCAGTAGTAGAGGAGGTTCCTAAAAAGGAACCTACTTCCCTTTCTAAATTTATAAATATTATTAATTTTATAAAAAATATATTTGAAAGTACTAAGCCTGAAATTATACTTCCTAAAGTTAGCCTTAATAAAGGAGATAGTACCTTATATATTAAATATTATCTAATTAAAAACTGCCCCTTAACCTGCTATAATTGTAATTTTAAAATTATAGGTTGTAATAATCTTTATAATTACATTTAAAAAAATATAGAAGTATTCGAGGAGTTAAAGTACGAAATAAAAGAATTTATATTAAATTTAGAGCGCCCTAATACCCCTAAGCGTCTCGGAGTTAACGTTAGAATATTATAATATCTAATTAATAAAATAGCCTTTACTAATAATTAATAAGGTTGTAATTTCGCCGCCTTATTAGACCAGGTTATTATTGCAAATTATAACGTTAAAGGATTAACTAACTTTATAAATAAATATTTTTAAAACCATTCGGCTAGCTAATAATAATATACAAACTAAGGTTAATATTATTAATAGTAAAATTATTATAGTAGGTACTAAAGTATTACAAATTAATTCTAACCTTAATACTATAAGTAGGAAATTTACTATAATATAAGCAGATCTTACTACGCTTAGAGCTATAATTAAGTAATTTAATGAATTAAATAAACGTATTAAAGATTAGCTTTTATCCGTTATTAAAATACTTAATACTACCCCTCGTACCCCCCTCCCTAGCGTATACTTAGAGTTTATTACGGACGAAGAGTTACATCCCCCAAAAATAAGGCTAGTTTAAAAGGTTTTAAAGCGGGTAATTACCTAATACTATACTTCTATTATTAGAAAACCCTCCTCTAATAGTCCTTTGCCTCAATTTATTAAATTACCCTCCAGTTTAGTATTAGCTAAAGATTAGCGTCAACGCTCAATATCTAAAAGTCCTCTAATTAATAATACTAATTTTAAATTTACTTTTTTTATTAATAACCTTAGTACGTATAAGGCTACGCCTCTTAAGCCTACGGTTGAAGATAAATAAGATACTTTAAAGCCTTCGTTAACTAATTTAATTATTATTTATACTACACCTTCCTAATATATTTTTACTTAATTATAGGGATCAGGATTTACTCTAACCTTATTAAAACCCTACCGGTCTTCCGTACCTACCCCTAATACTAATAAAATAATTATATCAATTTACATTACTAACGTAATTTTTGAAAAATCTAAGAAAAACTTTGAATAAGTAGTTAAGGATATAGAGGCAATAAAAAAGGATATTAGCGTTTAAATTATTGTATTGTAAATTATATTTATATTCCGATTAAATAAAGCCTTTAAACCCTCGGTTACTATAAGAAACCCTAGTAATAATAATCCTAACGATAGTAATAATAATAATACACTTTCTTTAATACCCCCCCGAGGAGGCTTTCTGCTTAGTAGAAGAGGTTTTCCGCCCAGTAAAAGAGATTTCCTACTTAGTAGAAGAGGTTTCCCACCTAGTAAAAGAGGTTTCCCGCCTAGTGGAAGAGGTTTCCCGCCTAATAATAAATCCGACGCTAAATTATATAAAGGATACCCTCGAGACTACTTTAAAATTAAAAAAGAAGAAGTCAATTATTTTAACCCTTATTATTCTAATTCTAATAATTTTAGTATAGTATAAAATAGTAAAGATATTATTTACATTGATATAATTATATTTATAGACCGAATCCTATTTATAATAGAAGACTTCCTTACTTCTAGGACTAAAGTAAAAGGCTAGCTAGTTCGTCTTTTTCCCTAATTACTATATGGAGTAGTATTCTTATAGTAGTATAATTAGTTTAAGCCCGATTAGTATTATGCAATATAAAGCGAGGGTCTTAAAGGGCTATATAATGATTTAATTATTCACTTTAAATTAAATTCTATAACCGCTACTCGCAAATTTAATTAGGGAATTATTATTCTAAAAAATGTTACTACAAATGAAAACGCAATTTTAATATACATTATAAAGAAACTATATCTAATTCGTATAATAAGTATACTTTCCTAAATAGAAGATAATTAAGATAGTATTATAATGTACA